AAATAAATAAATAAAAATAAAAAATAAAAGAAATAAAATAAGAAGGAAATCTTTTATATAAGGGACTTAGTGTAGCGCCTGACACTATGCTAACCATGTGAATAATGCTTAGTCTTATTCATAAAGCACGTGGTGGCCTATTAAATCCTTTGCCTGTGGCAGCAGTTACCATTAGAGATGAAAAGAATTGGGGCCAGGGATTTAGCTCAGTGGCACAGCGCCTGCCTGGCAAGTGCAAGGTTGTGAGTTCAGTTCCCGGTACCGGAAAAAAAAGAGATAAAAAGAATAAAAAGGAAGTTACTTTGAAACTTTTTTCTGCATTAGGCCAGGCGTGGTGGTGCATGCCTGTAATCCCAGTACTTGGGAGGCTGAGGCAGGAGGATCTTTGCAAGTTTGAGACCAGCCTGGGCTACAAAGTGAGCTCAAGGCCAGCCTGAACTGCATAGTGAGATCCTGTCTCAAAAAAATAACAAAAAAATTTTCTGCATTGTACTATGCATGTGTATCACCTGCTCAAATACTTAATTACATAAAACATTTTTGGGAAAATTGACTTTAGATCAATGAATATGTTTCATAAGGCTGGGGGCTGGGGATTTAGCTCAGCGGCACAGCACCTGCCTGGCAAGCGTGGGGTCATGAGTTCAATTCCCGGTACCAGAAAAAAACAAAACAAACAAAGAAAACAACAAACAACAAAAAAAAAACCCATAATGCTAAATAAAAATGCTGCAGATATAAAGTAAAATAAATAGTATATCTGAATCAATTTCATATATATGTATATACACACACACCAAACACTTCTATTTGTGATGTGTATTTGAATAAAACACTAGAATAGAATACACAAAAGATTGGAAGGCTCTCTACTAAAAGTTTTATAAGGATTGTCTTTAAGTGGTAGTGATTATGCTTAATCTCCTTTTGTGGTCATTCAACTTGTGTTCTACAAATTTCCTGAAATATTCAATACCCATGTGTGGATATATACACACACTACATAGGATAAGCAAAACAGCTTGCAAAGCTTTAATCATACCACTTCATGGTGTTTGAAAGATTTCCACTGTCATTATTTTGATTTTTTTGAAATTGCTGGTCCTGGTCTCCCACTTGACTTTTTTATGTCAACTAACAGTGTTCTCAGCAATGCGCAGTCTAGTGATCCTTCAGTGCCGACTTACAAAACTTTTATGAAACTTGTGAAAATGTTACTCTCAACACGAGGACAACCTTTGCCAACTCTTTGCTTTTTATGGATAAGTACCCTTTGCAAAATTGCTTCTTGAATCAAGAGAAGGGAAAATAAACCACACCACGGGAAGTGTGTCCACATCTTCAGCTCCCCAGGTTATCTCTCTGAAGTTTCATTGTTTAGCTGTGTTTTCAGAGAAAGGCGGTCATTTATGCATGAAGTCTGGAAAGGAATCAGGGAGAGTCTTCTGCTTTTCAAATCCCTGAATATTTTCCTCTTCGATTTATGCTAAAAGCGTATATGGATGAGCTGGCCACAAAAATAACAGGTGATCGGGGAGAAAGGGCATGGGGTTTCTCTAAGGCAGGAAGATGCTCAGAAGACCCTGGTCCATGATTTCACACCTATACATACTTTTTTGCCGTTCAGTGAAGAGGTGAGAGGGCAATGAGGTAAAAGCAAGGACTCGTCTGTAGTTTCCATGGTAAGCATTCCAGTAGAGGTCGCTAGATGCATTTAGAAAGCTACACATTTGCTTTGACATCTTGGAATCCTCTTGGAAGCCTTTAGGATTTCTTTTTTTTTTTTTCTTTTTTTTCTTTTTTTTTTTTTTTGGTCTTTTTTGAGACAGCGTCTTTCTATGCAGTTCAAGCTGACCATGAGCTCACTTTGTAGCCCAGGCTGGCCTCAAACTCACAAGGATCCTCCTGCCTCAGCCTCCCGAGTGCTAGGATTACAGGCATGCACCACCATGCCTGGCTTTTACCCTTTAGGATTTCTAAGACTTGATAAGCCTGGACCTGTATATCCAAAATAATTCAGTTAACACAGTTATGAAAGACCTACTATGAGCTGCTATTCTAGCTGTGGAGGATATTTTTCAGAAAAAGGTAGACAAGTCTCTGCCTTCAGGTGGACATAGAAATATCAATCTTGTAAATAATAGATATTATGTAAGGTGCTACTGAATTTCTGGAAAAGACTGCAAAGTGTAGTTTTATAGAAACGAGTGCTTTAGCTGATGAGATCAAGAAAAATCCCCTTGAGAAAGTGATATTTGAATTAGGACATAAATAATAAGGAAGTGACAATACTTGGAAATCTGGAAGAAGCAATAGCAAAACCTTTGACACTCATGTGGACAGAAAAAAGACCAATGTGCCCGGAACTCAAGGCTTAGTGAATTAGCAGGACTCCAGAGGGAACGAGGTCAGAGGCAAGCAGGGAATACAGAGGAGCTGCTTGAGAGCTTGGATTTTATCCAGGTTGTAAGAGAAAGGCACTGGGAGGTTGTAAGCAGGACAATTTGCTCTTTTCCAAAGTGGAACATACTCCAGAGGCTAAGGAAGGAGAATTGCAAGTGGAAGGCTGGTACTGCATAGGCAGCTTAGTGAGACCTCGGAACAAAAGATCAAAAGGGCTGAGGAATGGCTTAGTGGCCGAGCACCTCCTCACATATGTGAGGCCTTGGATTCAATCCCCAGGATCGGGGACTTTAAAAACAAGAGTAAGAGAGGAAATTTGGAGATTGAGATTATCTGCATATCAGTCTCAAATTTTTTTTTTTTTCTTTTTTTGTCTTTTTGAGACAGGGTCTCGCTACGCAGTTCAGGCTCGCCTTGAGCAAACTTTGTAGCCTAGGGTGGCCTTGAACTCCCAGTGATACTCCTGCCTCAGCCTCCCTGAGTGCTGGAATTACAGGCATGCACCACCAGGTCCAGCTTCCATCTTTTCTTTTTAAGGTTAAATAGACTACCTGTGTTTCCCAATGTGGTATCCGTATAAACCTGTATTTCATTTCCGTGTGCTCACCTGTTTCATTTTATATGCTTTATTATGCATGTGTGAATGCTATGGCCAGGAAAATG